TCAAATGATAATTACCCTTCCCAAGTCACAAGACAAGTAAAAAACATTAAGTTCGGACTGGCTGAACTTTTAATAGCCTCTACCATTGGATAAAGAAAACATTTTTATATTAAAGTATCTGAATTCAAACGTGTTCCGCTTTAAACTATAAATACCAGTAAGGACGTTTTGGATAATGCTGTTAAACTTTTCAAAAAACCATAAAGGGGGTGAGACCGTTGCATGGGAGCCATACCGTAACCGGAACCTCCATAGACAAGTTTATGCTTCAAGGATTGCAAGCTACCAAATCTTTTTAAATACCAATTTTAAAACAATTTCGCTAATAAATGTGACTACGATTAGGAAAATACCGAGTATTGGTGGGTATCGTTATATATGCGCTATAGGAAAACGTGGACCTAAATTTTCAATGTTCTGCGCTGGAGCTAGAACCCATTACGAACTACAAATACGAACTTTTAGTCAAATCCATGAAAAAATGTGCCAAAAATCATTAAAATACCAAATAACCGGAAGAACTGTTATGTGGGAGCTATACGAAAACGTGAACCTTAATATTCCATACGCATTACGAACTACAAATACGAATTTTTGGACAAATCCGTGGGAAAATGTGATAAAAATCATCAAAATACCGAATATGGGAAGGTGCCGTTGTATGGGGCTATACCAAAACGTGGTATAAATACAATGCTTCGCCACACGAGCTGGACCTACAAATACCAATTTTTAGACAAATCCGTGGGAAAATGTGGCAAAAATCATCAAAATACCGAATATCGGTAGGTACCGTTATATGGGGCTATACCAAAACGTGGACCTATAAGTACAATGTTTCGCCACTGGACCGGACCCATTATGAACTACAAATATCAATTTTTAGAAACATCTGTGCAAAATTGTGGCAAAAATGATCAAAATACCGAATATCCGGAGGTACCATTATGTGGGAGCTATACGAAAACATGGGCATAAATATTCAATATTCCACAACAAGAGCTAGAACAAATTACGAACTACAAATACGAATTTTTTGGACAAATCCATGGGAAAATGTCGCAAAAATCATCAAAATACCGAATATAGGGAATTACCGTTATATAAGGCTTTACCAAAACGTAAACCTATAAATACAGTGTTTCGCCAAGGGACCGGACCGAACCCATTATGACCAACAATTACCATTTTTTCACGGGCCGTTATATGGGGGCTATACCAAAACGTAGACAATGTTTCGCCACCGGACCGGATCCATTATGACCAATAAATACCATTTTTAGACAAATCCGAGAAAAAAATGTAAAAATTATCAAAATACAGAATGTCGAGAGTTACAGTTATATGGGGACTATGCCAATACCAACCATCGTAGACAAAATACAAATTGTTCTGCCAAATTTTTAGGCTCTACATCAAATAATGTGAGCTGTATCGTGATTTCAACAGACAGACGGACATCATTATAATTTTATGCTGATTATGAATATATATGCTTTATGGGGTCTACGGCTAATATGTAGGGATGTTACAAACGGAATGACAAAGTTATTATACCCTCCTTATATTATTATATTACTTATAAGTTACCAAAATATGGAAATATCGATATTCCTTCAATATTTAATGATTTCAAATCACTGTGTGTAATTTATTACTATTGCCCCCTTAAAGGTCTGATTTTTTGCTTTATATTTAATTCTAAATTTCTTTAAACAAATGCCTTAATTTTTCACGCATTTGTCCAATACGTGTATTCGTGTACGTCTTCTTTAAATAAATCATATTGTGCGGGTGTTGAATAAACAAATTCAAAAACAAATCGTGACTTTAACCACAAAACACTTTGGTTTGGACAATAAACAATTTAAACTCACGAAGTTCATGACCTCCGCCAACACAATAAAAACAAGAAGTGCTCATTAGAGGCGAAACTACCCAAAAAATTGGATTGTTAAACAATTCATTTAGATCATCATCATTTACACAATTTGATTTCAAACTAATAATTAAACATGCCACGCCGCAGCACACACAGACGCATACATGGAAGACACGGCGACTTCCTGCTTCCATATATTTTCCCATACAAAACAACAATTAAAATATCCCACTAAAACTTTTATTTATTCTAATTTGTTGTTCTCTTCAGTATCCAAATCCATAAGAAGTGAAATGTGTAACAAATGCTTTGGTGGAAGAAGACAAAGGCACCAAATTAGAAAAAAGAACGAAGAATACAACGAAGAAGAAAATATGACGGGGAAAATGTCTGATTCCAGCAAAACACAAATCTACGCATCGTTGCCACATACGAAAGTAAACAAAAGAGCTGTTCTATAAACCACTCTGCTTTGCTCTAGTAAAAGAAACGTGCTTGAATTTCGAAAAAAGACAATAGCGGAGGGATGGCTCCCCTCCCGCCATCATCACCGACAATTATTTATGCTGGCGAAAACTGTTGCGCCAGCCATAGTGGCCCTTATTGCGTCTTTTGAGAAGAGACTTTTATCAGTTTGCTTGCACGTTTTCTTAAGTGTTAGTGTCATGAGCTGGCTGTAGCGATGTAAACAATTCGCAAATCAGGTACCTCGCTCCTAATGTTCCCCCCTTAAGAATGTATAAAATTTGTGTGAGATACAATTTGGTGCAAAGAGGATTTTCTTTTAGTTATTAATTTTAATGAAGATCTTAAGTATTATTTTGAAGTGGTGGCTGGAAGGTATTAGGTGGGTTCTCCATACAACAACTATATGCATTCTGTAGACGATATCTCACATCACTCTATGTAAACTGAAGACATTCTGGCGTTTTTTTTATAGCCAGAAGGTCTTTGGGAGTTCTCCCAAAGCAGAAAAACTCAAGGGGTCTTTTTTAATCAGAAGGCGCTTCAGATGTCTTCTATAGGTAGACATCTATAGATGTCTCTTATGGAGAGAACACCATCGGGAGGATAAAAGACCTTCTATATACAGAAAACCTTCGAGATCTCATATATAGACAAAGATCTTCAAAATGTCCATTGACAGAATACCTTCGAGAGATCTTCTTTAGAAAGAAGTCTTTCGAGAAGTCTTCTATAGGCAGAAGACATTTAACCGGACTTCTTTAGAAAAAAGACTTTCAAAAAAGACCTTTTTCCATTGACAAAAAATCATTGCTAGCTCTTCCATAATCTTCCATCAACCGAAGGCTTTCATGAGGTCTTCCATAAACAGAAAACCATTGACGGGTATTCTCTAGACAGAAATCTTCTAGAGGTCTTCTAAATACATAAGAACTCTTACAAGTTTTCTATAGACAGAAGAATTTGGAGAGAGGTCTTCTATAAAAATAAAACTTTGGAGAGAGGTGTTCTATAAAAAGAAGACTTTGGAGAGAGGTCTTCTATAGACAAAATCCCTTCCAGAGGTTTTCTGTAGACAGAAGACATTGACAGAAGGCCTTTGGGTCTTCTATGGATAGAAGACTTTTTGGAGGTATTCTATTGTAAAAAGACCCTTGTAAAGGACTTCTATAGACAGGGGATCTTTGAGAAATCCTTCAATTGACAGAATAACGTAGAGAATCTTCTACAGTAAGTAGACCTTTGAGGGGTCTTCAATAGATAGAAAAGAGGTCTTCTATAGACAAAATCCTTTCCAGAGGTCTTCTATAGACAGAAGACCTTTAGTTCTTCTAAATTCGGAAGATCTTTAGGTGTTCTAAAGTCAGAAGACCTTTGAGAGGTCTTCTAAGGATTTTTTTTTTTTTTTTTTTGAGGTATTCTATTGTAAGAAGACTCTTGGAAATGACTTCTATATACAGGAGATCTTAGAGAAATTCTTCAATTGACAGAATAACGTAGGGAATCTTCCATAGTAAATGACCTTTTAGAGACCTTTCTGTCTTTTATAGACAGAAGACATTGGGGTGGTCTTCTACAGACAGAATACCTTCGAGAGGTATTCTAAAGACAGAAGGATTTCGAGAGATGACCTGTAGACATAGGACCTTTGAGAAATCTTCCATGGACAAAAGGTCTTCAAGGGGTCAGGACTTCTATAGATAAAAGACATTTTACAGATCTTCTAGATTTGATCTTTCATTTGCCTTCTATATGTATTTTATGAAGAAAGGATCTTTTATAGGCGTTTTATAAAAGAAAGGATATTTAGAGTTTTTCCACTGAATTTTGACGGGATTTCTATAGACATAAGACTTTTTAGGCATCTATTACAGACCGTGTTTCAAGTTTTCCTCTAAACTAAAATACTTCGTCTTCAATTAAAATAATTTAACTTTCGTCCAAAAGTACCATCCACCCTAATGTAACTTAAACATTTCGTGACGACAAACCATTTGTTGCTTTTGTTGTTGTTGTATATACAAAATTAAATGTTTAGTTCGGAATATTGTAGTTGTCGATTTAATTTTTTCTCGTTTTGTTGTGGCCGTAGTAGTAGCAGAAACATTGTAAACATTAATCGTTAATGCCGTTAATAGACGACAATAAAATGGGCATGGGGATTCACAATTAAACCTACAAAAATACATTCAGAAAATTATTAACAAAAAATTACAGTATGACCATAATTTACATCTAATGACATATTACCGTATTTCCAAAACGGCCACCTGTTTGCGCCAACAATTAACATAAAAACACCATCAAGTTCAATCCCCTCATTTGTTGTGTAATTTCATGAAAATGGAAATTTGGTCGAAAATTTGGAATACATTAGAATTTTTTATTAGTGGACATAGGGGAAAAGCAGTTGCATCCACCTGTGTCCGCAACACAAAACAAAGCTTGTGGCCGAAAAGTGATGTATTTAAGAGATGATTTATTTTGCATTTATACACGTTGTAATTAATATGAATTAGTATTTTATGAGAAATATCGGGGTGGTTTTCGGTTGTAATGAAATGTAGACTGCATGTCTACCAGAATGTTTTATTTTAATAACAGTGTGTCCCTACAAGAAAATAGTTATTTTAATGCACTTATTTATACTTACAAGGACTTGGGGGTTTTAATACGTATAAAACATACCTGAAAAAAGAGAAAAGAAAACATTAGGTAGAAAGTACGTACTTAATATATTACATAATTCAATAAATCCAATAATTCATAACATATCCTTTTTGAATTCACTATTAATATTTGGCGAATTTTTATGAATATCTTATCAAGGACTTATGTTTATGATTTTTAGTTGTTTAGTTCAAGGGCTTGATTCTTGTTCAATGAAAATATGAAATTAAAAATATTTATCATGGTTTATCGCGTATTCCAATTTTTGGAGTATTAAAAATTCGGATCATTTTTTTTTTTTTTTTTTTTGGAAATATAATTTTTTATTTTAATTTTTTATTATTTTTAACATTTTATTTTTTTAAAATACCTTTCGAACCAATTTTTGGGAAATTTTTATGTTTCTCATGTTTCTTAAATGAAAAGATAAAATTAAAAATATGGCTGGAGAGGTATTACACATTTGATACGGCCAAAACGTGCGTCATCGCCATACCAAATCGGGAACCTGTATAGCCAATTTTATACTTCAATGATTGTCATCTTCCAAATATTTTTAAATACCAAATTTGAAACAATTTCGTAGGTAAATGTGACTAGGATTATCAAAATACCTAATATCGGTTGGAATCGTTATATCTGCGCTATGGGAAAACGTGGACCTAAATATTCAATGTTCTACCGCTGGAGCTAGAAGCCATTATAAACTACAAATACCAAATTTTAGGTAAATCCGTGTAAAAATGTATCAAATATCATAAAAATACAGAATATAGGGATGTACACGGCGACAAAGTGGAGAGCATAAAAACGGAGGTTTTGGAACCTCTAGTACTAGTACATTTCTGTATAGCACATGATATGACTTCAGGAAAAATTATATTAAAAAATTTTATTAGAGCAATAGATATACCGGACCGAGATTCACCAAATCAATATATATATATATATATATATATATATATATATATATATATATATATATATATATATATATATATATGTATATATATATATATATATATATATATATATATATATATATATATATATATATATATATATATATATATGCATAACCGTAAAATCGGATGAACATCTTTATTGAAGGTATATAAAAACCGTCACCAATCTCGACGAAATTTGGTAGAGGTACTTTTAAGCTGTATCTGAACCGATGTTAACCACAATTTGAAGTACTTGTTTCTAAGATGAATTCAGTCGGAGTTAAAAAACTACAACAAAGTTAAATTCCATAATTTTTTAAATTTTTTAAATTTTATTGAATGACAGCAATAAATGTCGGAAATAGCATCAAATTTTAGAATAAGTTTAGATTTTTTCGAATTGATCACATTTGGCACGAATTATGGACTTCAAACGGCCAATAAAACCGTCACACGTTGCCCGAATGTTGATCTGCGGTGGCCCATTCCCGGCGAAGCCCTTGCTTGAGGTGACATTTTGATACTTTTGACTGCCAACCTTGCTTTCCAAAATACTCCAGATACAATAGTCCAAAAGATGAAGCAAGAAACCTCATTTTGTAACCATTCTTGTGTGACGCGTGCTGAGTGCGATGGTGCTGAGTCCTGTTGTAATGTCCAATGTTTGTGGCCAAAGTGTTTGCGTGAACAAGGCTCCACCCTCCAGAATATTTTCGCGATAATATTTGGCATTTATTATGATGCAACGGTCGATTAATACGAGCGGAGCGCGACCATAGGCTTTTATAGCGGCCCATACCATCACCATTGCCGGCGCTTGAGTTCTGGTGGCCAACCGAAGGTGCACATTTTCAGCTGACCTCTTTGGCAAGTAAACACGATCATTTTGTTTGTTTACAAACTGCTGGACAACAAATGTTTTCTCATCGGAGAAAACCAAATTCGGCAGTACACCACTTTGGGTCAAGCGAAGCACACTCTTTTGCTCATTGGAGTCTATATTCTTACTGTTGCGGTGTAAGTTCTTGCACTTATTGGAATTTCAATGGCTTTACCCCGAGCTCATTTTTAAATATTTGCCGAATGGAATATTGCGATATGTTCAGCTCAGGAGCCATATTTCGGCCACTGCGACGCGGGTTTCGATCAAGTCGCTTCTTTACTTTTCGAACCATTTCTTCTGATGTTGTTGTTTTCTTTCGTCCACTTTCTGAAGTCGGGCTATGCTACCAGTATCATGGTAACGAGCGATGGTACGAGACACAAAAGATTTATTTACATTTAAATGCTGAAGTGCTCTAACGATAGCCGCTTGTGGTTCTCCAGCCAAATATAAAGAAATCACACTATTACGCTTGAATTCCATCGCGAATAACTTTTTTCTGGAAAATTCACTCCAAAATGCTTGTGTATGCTCGTAAGCAATATAATGAGTTGTCACTGGAATAATTTTAACAGCTGTCGAACGAGTGGCTTAGAAGTGGCAGCAGTCTGAAGTTGGTTGTAGTTTTTTCCCTGTATATGGGGACTTCTAGATTAAATTCGGTCGGATATACCAAAATGCAGGTAATTTGGACTGATATGGGGCACAATTAACCGGAAATGGGTTGGAAATATATATGATAGTTATATCTTAATTTGAACCGAGTTTCACCAATTTCAATGGAAGAAATATAAGACGCGCTCTCAAAACCACCTCCACATTTTAACCACAGACACCTATACCTAAATAAAAAATTTCCTGGTTCCAGCCTTATTCCTTTACACAAAACAAAATTTAATGTAGTTTTCGTACAAATATAGGACGCACTTCCAAAACCACTTCCACATTTTAAATACAGATACCCACAGAGACCTAAATAACAAATTTCGGGATTCCAGCTTTATTCATTCGCCCAATTCCAAATTTACTGTCATTTAGTAGCTTTCGTACAAATATAGGACGCATTTCCAAAAAAAACCTCCATATTTTAACTGCTGACAACAAAAGAGACCTAAATAACAAATTTCGGGATTCCAGCCTTATTCTTTCACCCAATACCAAATTTAATGTCATTTAATAGATTTCGTACAAATATAGGATTAATTTTTAAAACCACCTCCACATCTTAACCACAGACACCAAGAGAGACCTAAATAACAAATTTCGGAATTCCAGCCTTATTTCTTGACCCAATACCAAATTAAGTATTATTAAGTAGTTTTCTTATAAATATTGGACGCATTTGGACCAAACAAATATTTTTTGGAAAATTTCATCTCAATCGGATAATTAATTCGACCTTCATTTTGTTCACAAGAATACATGGACAGACGGACGAACATACGGACTGGCATGCATAAATCGACTCAGAAAGTGATTCTATGAAGATCCTCAAATATAACTATGGCTCTATCTCTTTTCCTTCTCCATGTTACAAACAAATACACAAAGACGTAATACCCTTACCACCATGTGGTGTAGGGTATAATGATACCATGGCTTATATTCATTTACATACAATTTCTAACTGGTCCAAAATTAACTAACCTTTGAATAATTTTTAATATTCAATGAAATTTCAATAAAAATTAATGCCTCTCTCTTAAATAAGATATTGAAAATCTACTTTAACATTCCATTTCATCCTCCACCCATTTTTTTTAATGTTGATTTTTAATCATTTGCTGTTTTATTTAACTTTTTGAAATTCCAATTTTTCATTGAAATGTATTTAGTGTGTTGGTGTTAGTGGTGCTGCTGTCCAACGAGAAATTGAAAATGCAAAAAAAAAATGTAAAACACATATAGAAATAAAAAAAAACTAGTACATGTAATTTTCATTGACAATTAGCAGTGGCCGACCGACGACAATTGGGTCACTAACAAAGTGTTTTGGTTTGGTTTGGGTGGTGGTGGTGTTGGTTAGCATCCATAAATTTACAAATGGAAAAATCACAATTATCGTTTGTTCTCTTTTTCGCTTCTCGCCATTTGTTCGCCTTTCATACGAAATTCAATGGATAATTAAATTAGCACTGAAGGCAAAATTGTGTGTCAAGTAAAAATAAAAATCCATACATACATATGTGTGTTTGTAGGAAAATGTAAAAAAAAGGCAGAAAGAAAACTAAAATAGAACATAAGCCGCCTGTCCATACAATTGAAATGTCAGCAGAGCCAGCCTATGTGTGATTTGTGTGGTTCTAAGAAAAATATTTTCTTTTATTTTGAATAGATTGCTAGAGATATAAAAATGACAATAAATTAGATTCCATTTTGATAGACGACAACTGTCAGACGAGTGTGGGTTTGGAATTTGATGTAACTAAGAAAATAATGAGTAGGAAAATAATTTTTTTTTTTTTTTTTTTTTTGAATTTTCAAGGCCGGGAAGCAAATATTTTCTGAAAATTTCGACATAATTAGACATGTGGTATTTAAATAATTTCCACAAGAGGAAAATGGAAAATGCAAAATCCACCATTCGTATTTATCGACAAAAATAGTTTTGCTTTTAAATTTATTTTCAAAAATCTCTAGTATTATATCAAAAATCGGTTAAGCAGTTTTACTAATGACCTGTTCCAAAACCTGCCAGAAGATAAAAGTTCTGGTGTTTTATATATATTTTTTTTTTTTCAAATTAGGCCCGAATAATTTTAGGGTTACAGACTAATTATACCCTTATTATTCCGTTATTCCGTTTGTAACATCCCTAAATATTCGTCATAAACCCAATAAACTATATAAACAGGGTGAGTTGAAACAACTGCAACCAATTTCAGACTGCTATCATTTCTAAGTCACTCGTCCGACAGCTGTTAAAATTATTCCAGTGACAGCTCATTATATTGTTTACAAGAGTACAAAAGCATTTTGCTGAGAAATTTCAAGAAAAATGTTATTCGTGATTGAATTCAAGCGTGATAGTGTGATTTCTTTATATTTGGCTGGAAACCCACAAGTGGCTCTCGTTAGAGCACTCCAGCATTTAAATGTGAATAAATCTTTTGTGTCTCGTACCATCGCTTGCTACCGCGATATTGGTGGCGTAGCCCAACGTCAAGGAAATGGACAGAAGAAAACAG